AATACTGGAATAATAATAAAAATATATCATACGAGCTTCATTAATCAAAGAATTTTTTCAAACAGTAACATAATTAGTAAATATTAATATGGCATCTAGTATAAATAAATAAAACACATTATAAACAGGACGAAGCAGTATAGTGAGGAAACTGAAGACGATAGATAATCTGCCTGAGTAGAAACAGATTGAACAGGGAAGGAACAAGAAGCTATAGCAAATGGTATATTAAATATGAATTCACATGGTAGACAAGGATGAAAATTCCTTTGCCACTGAAACATGACATGGCACTGGAGAGGAGCATCTTGCACTGAAAAAGGGTTTACTAAACAACCTATTAGGTCAGACATCTCTATACCTCTCATAGATACATAACAGAGCAAGTTGCATGAATCCAAGTTGTATAAGTAAACGTAAGTTACATGTAAATGTATCAACCATTCATCTTCTGAACTGCTTCCATCCTCAGAACAGCACATTCAACTTAGTTCTGGCCACTGCTACTTATATAAGACCCTTTGGAGATTTTTCAGAGAAAAGATACAAGCTTAGAAAAAGAGCTGAAGAAAACACAGCTGAAAGAAGCCCCAGTAACAGTTTACAGACATAGAAAGAAGACAATGTTATCCACTAAGAACAGGGCAAGAACTGCTGGTCTTAGACTGCAGCAGAGAAAATTCAGATTAAATAACTAGAGAAACCTGAAAATGAAGTTTTTGACAAAAGAATCAGCTTCTACAAAACACTACAGGATCAGTGTCTCTGGGTACCTGAAAGGTTGCATTAGTCACTGATCCAGCAGAGATCATAGGAACGTTTCAGTCAATTCTCATTTTGCACAAGGAATGGATCTGAATGCGTATCTCAGCCTCAGAGGGATTATGAATAAAGGATAGGACAAGGGGTAATGGCTTTAAACTGAAAGAGTAGATTTTGATTAGGTGTAAAGAAGAAGTTCTTCCCTGTGAGGGCGGTGAGGCGCTGGAACAGGTTGCCCAGAGAAGTTGTGGATGCTCCATCCCTGGCAGTGTTCAAGGCCAGGCTGGATGAGGCTTTGAGCAACACGGTTTAGTGGAAGGTGTCCCTGCCCATGGCAGGGGGGTTGGAACTAGATGATCTTTAAAGTCCCTTCCAGCCCAAATCATTCTATGATTCTATGGTTCTATGATACAGTACAAACATAAGTTGTTATGCTAAAACAGCAGTTTATACAGGAATAAAACTAAATGGAGACAAGGACATAATGGTAAAAGAAAGAAACAACTCCTTTTATAGATGGGCAAGGGAAATGTTCCATAGATAGAGGGACAGAAAACAAAAGTGGAAGTATGTACATAGGTAAGTTTCTGTGGAAACATGAGAAGAATGAAAGCAGACAAATGAAGATGGACAGCAGGAAAGTTAATAACTTGTAGAGATTCAGCACAAACTAATGGCTCTGGCTAAAGGAAGTAGACATCTGGAGTCACAAAGCTCAGGTGCTACAACTGATTGCAACTTTTAAACCAGAATACAAGTTTCCAGGTAAAACTTCAGAGAAGCTTTTTTTTTTTTTTTAAATAGTAAATAATATTCAATAAACAACATGAAAATAGCAGAAGGATTTTGAAGAAGACTGCTGTAGTAGAACTGACGGTTCCCCAGCTGATCATTTGACAGCGACATAACATCAATTCTTATTACACATGTAGGTATTCATACAGTCGTTCATTCTGTCCCTCCTTTAAAAATCACAGCTGTGGTGGTGCATCTTCCACTTCTCTTGCTTGGCATCAAAGCCTTTGCTTTGCTCCTCAAGCCCTACTTTACAATATCTTTTAAGGCACCTGCTCTGTCTCCTAGCCCAAGCTATGTTTGGGTCTGGTCTCATACAGCAGCTGACCCATTCAGCTATGTTACCATTTCCAGCCTATACCCATTTTACACCAGGCTGCCCTGCCACTTTCATTATCCAAGCATTTATCCCAAGGGAGCTCAAGGCATAACACTATCCAATGCAACTGGTTGAAAATCTGACCAACTAGTTTTCCACTTGGTGATTTGATGAAACAAGGCGTTTCATGATTTTATCGATGCTTTGAATGGTCAAATATTTTATTCTGAACTTCTGATACAGTATATGCTCAATAAAATCAACTCAAGTATTTCAGACTATTTCATTCCACAAAACAAGCAAACAATCACCTTTTCTTAAAAACACAAGATGACAAAACATTTTGAGCTTTGAAAACTTTCCTCCATATAGAAATTCCATATTTCCTGTCAGTTTTAAGATTGGGACCAGGTTTAATATTGTTGTATAGCTGAATGCCTCTTCCAAAAAAAGGCAGGCCTTTTCAGAAATAACATTGCTATCTTCCAACGCAAGGGGCAGTGTCAGCTTGGTACCGCTCTTGCATCATCTTTCTGGCACACAGACTAGTTTTTTCCCCATAACCATTTTATTACTGATGAAACATGGTGATATATTCTTGTTTCTCATAAACATGAATGTCTAACTATGAAAAAAGAGCAGAGTAGTTCTTCACCACAAATCATTTTTTGTGCCCATGCAGTTAAATAAGAAAATTAATTTGGTTTAGATATGCTTATGCTTTCTTCTTTGTGGTCACTTTCCAAACCCAAATATCAGAACACTTGCAGAAGAAGCAACCTGGAGGTAAATTAAATAATATACAGAAAAACTAAAGTGTCAACCCATTGAGGTAATTATTTATACCAATAATGTGATTGTGGGAATCATGTTTACCCAAGCAGGAGACAGATTCACTATTTTTGACCCTCATGTTTCCATGTAAAACAAAATTATCTGTCCAAAACATCTGCACATGGAATACTGCAAACCAATTTCTTACCTACCACGACTAGGTTGAGATTTATCTATAAAAATATTTAGCAAATAATTTCAAAGAAAAAATTGATTCAAGAAATCTACCCAAGCAGGAAAGAGGCCTCAACTTAAGCCAGTTATTCACAATGAATTGTATGTAATATTTCTACAGATAGTTAACAAGGGCAGGATATTACTTCAGGATGATGGCTTTACAACTGGGACAGTTCTTTTCTTCTGCTCCACGGTCAGGTGAGAGAGCTCTGCTATCACATAACCCTTTTCTCAGCTATCTACAATGGAAAAGGAGGAGTCACTGTGCAATGTCTGGATTCCAAAACTCCTTAAGACTCACCCTCAAACTAAGTTTTTTTAAAAACAAAAGGTATTAGCCAAATGAAATAGGAAAGTTTATATTTCCAAAACCAAGGAGGAAATTTATGCTCCAAAATGTAAGCCAAGGCAAAATTCCATCTGTACAACAATGTACCAGAGCCTTGACTTCAGCCCAGATTTCTGCTGCCTGCTTTGATATCCTAGGTGTTTTACCTACTCTGTGCAAATCACTACTATGCATGTTGTGAGTTCCCTGCAAGATCCAAAAGCAAAGCAAGATCAGACAATAAAGAGTCATTATGTTCAAAATTACTACCACTGACAAGTGTCCCTGGATTTAGAAGTATGTTCCAGAAAAGGGATAAAGACAGTTATGCCTATACCAGCAGAGGAAAGCTGTGGATTTCAGCAAGATACATACTGGGCTCCCAGAGAAGTCTCTGAAGACACATTTTAGTTCTTCCAACACATAAGGACAGCTATTTAACCACAGTAGAAATGTCTTGATTCTTCATAACCTAAAGAGCTTTTCCTCCTCAATCATGTGTTCAGACACTCCCATTCACGTGCAAGTCTTTCCATTTCTGCTCATTGCCTTTAGAATATTCACCTTGCTGAAGCAAAGTACCCAACATGTCCATCACTGTACTGTGCAGTCACCTGGTCTCACCATAAAAGAATATGATTTGATCACATGGAATATAGTTCTTATTTACCGTGCATGCTCCTTATTTCTTCATGTTTTTAAAAATAAGCAGGAAATACCCCCATAGATTGACATACTAACGGTTGGTCTTTCAAGGTCACTAACGTTGCAAGATAGGTAAATAGTGGCTTAAGGGGTGAATTGTCCTCAAAACCACCAAACATTTTTAGATCACAGAAGTGAAGACCTCCTCCTATTCTCCTTTTGTTAGGTTATTGTATTATAGGATAAAAGGCACCCAGTAGCACAAGTTATTATTGCATGTACACTCTACAGTAAGCCTTAAGATGGGAGACCTCAAAAGCGTGTGGGTAAGATAAGTGCCCTTCACAGAAATGACATAGTGAAGCAAAAAAGAATATCAAAAGAAGAAGGAAAGCACCAAGGACTAGACCGTAAAAAAATATATATTGTGTATCAAATACTGGACTCCTTCCTCATGCAAGGACTCTGGTATCCTTCTTCAGTTTGGGTATTGGGCTCTGGTATAATTTCTCAGTTGGGACAATGCCTTACTTCACTTGCAGTCCCACTGCAAGATGTCAAACAGCATGGCCATATTCAAAGTGAATATATATCCAAGCAAAGCATTCCAGCTGTGTTTGTTTCTTAAGAGGGCTTAACTCCTGATGATGCCACAAGAGTACTTTCTGAGTGAGGGATAAGAATAAGACCTTCAAAATTTAGCCCAGTGAGATTTCAAAAGGACTGAAGGAAAGAGAATCACCAAATATATGAAGAGATACAAGGGTGAAGTACCTTTGTCGGAGATTTTTGAGTTATGCTTTTGTTTGTAACTATCTGAAACAGAGAAAGAAATAGAGGGTGAATCTTACATGGGGGAAAGGAAGACAAAAGGCAAAGAAGCCAGAAAAAGAGAAGGAGAAAGAGAAAGAAAATATAAGAGATGATTTATTATAGGGCAAAGGGAAGTGGAGTCTTGCTGAGGACTTAATTTTATTTCCTTCATGCAAAAAAACCAAGAGCAGCAGCAGCAGCAGGTGGCAAACATGCAAGTCAGAGAGCAGCAGAATATTTTGCTGGAAGGGAAAAGATGAAGCCCTGAGTGCACCGAGCTGGTAGGACCAGGCTGGAAGCAGAATCAGCTGTCTGGGTGCTACTTACTGTCACAGACATAGGGTTTGTCATGATCATCCTGGGAGGCAGCATCATTCCGTCTCCTGCCACCTCCAGATCCCCGAGCCTGCAAGGACAAGAGGAATGTTAACATTATTCCACCGCCCCTCAGGCATCCTTGTGCCCCGCACCCTCCTATGAAAAATGTACAATGTAAACTAAACAAATCCTCAGCTTCCATACAGTTTGTCAAGGGTGGGCTTGACCCTTCATATCCTAAGATATGCACTATGTTAATGGACCTTGTAACACAGTGGAGATGCCCTCCACAGATAACCCAAACTGTTCATCCATAGCAGTAGGTCACTGCCAGCGCATATTCAGTTGAGTATCATCACACATTCATTTCTGAAGATGTTCAAATACCTTGCTTAACTGAATATGAATGAATGAATAGATGAACAGGTGTTAGAGGATAAATATAACCATTAAATCAGCCAGAAAACAGGCCCCAAATAAAACAGAGGTAAAATTATTTCCTTTAATATTTTCAAAGGGGGGTTGCTTGTTTTGTTTTGTTTTGCTTTCTAGCTGAAAAGCAATGTTTTGAAATGGCCTTCTGGGACCAAGATACCATGGCTAATTATAAAATGGAGCTTTGGTCAGTTAGTAGAAAAGATTAGGTAACATGGCTACCTCCAATAACGGAGAACAGGAATTAACCAGGAAGGCCTCTGCAGTTCTGGGTTCCTACAACATACCAAGCTGGCAGCCCTGGAAACTGGAAAGATCTGTTTCTCCACAGCAGAGACTGCTCTGTCCTGAGCTCCAGGGGTAAGAGTGGAATTCAGCATCAAATTGGTCCTGACCCTTCTCAGCTGAGATGCCAGCAAGAGGACAGCTCATATCTCTCCAATGGTGGAGGCTGTGATGTGGAACTGGGAACTGAGCCAAGGCCTTCAATTCTTTCATGTTCACTAACGTACAGTGTGTAGATGACAATAATTTTAGACTTGATCTTTATTTGAGGAAGTGATCTGCAGGTGGACGGCTAGATAGCCCTTTATTAATTCTGTCAGCTACTCTGTTCCTGGGTAAAAGCAACAAAATTGTTTCTGTTGCTCCTCTTATTAAACTGTTGATGCTTCTCACCCTAGACAAGGCCACCTGACTCAAATCCTTCAAGCTTTTGCATGTGAAAATAAGAAAGGGACAGAGCTTCATCAAGTAAAGCTGGAGAAGATGTAGAAATTCTGAGACTATTAGTACCCCAGACACAAAGGGGTCATAGGAGCTCTGTCCCTCTTCCATGGATTTGGGACTGAACTAGCACTATTCAAGCTGCATTCCATCAGACATCTAAAGGAACAAGGAACAGTTTTACACTGGCCTGCCACAGTCTGTCAAAACGGGGATTTATAAAAACTTCACACATATTTCCCTGGGATTGCTCAGATCTAACTCTTAACACAGTCCTGAAGGAAAGACATGGATTTGCAGCTGTCTGGATGGGGTAAATACTATTCGGTATGGCAAGTATAGCTCTGTCTTCTGCAAAGACCTCTGTGCAGATCAGCACACACGTGCAGAGTGAGATTTGTAAGGGTGAACTGAAAAGCAGTTTCACCCTGGAAAAGGCCCCAGCAACAATTGTTTGGTGGAAGCTACTTTACTGACCATATCACATAAAATCATCTTACTAGTCTGCAGTATTTTCTCTCTGACTGCCAGCTCTGTAAACCCACTCTGGGCTATGAAATCAATCCCAGGCTAGTTCCTTTCTTCCCTCACTACTTCAAAATGTGCTGCAAGCTGAATTTCAGTCCATGGCAGCTCCTATACAACCCTCAGCTCATCAGAGAGTCTTCACAGAGACAAGTGATTGGCCCTTAATAAATATTTCTGCTGGTACCTGGATTAGGATCCAATTTCCCTATCCTACCAGCTGCATTGGCTTTTCAGGGCTGTGAAAAAACTGTAAAGTCTTATTTTTGTCACTAGTCAGTAGGTCTGACTCTGTTTACACACTGAGAACGGATCTGTTGAGTAAGAAGGTACTATTTTTACATAGGCACCTTTCAGAATAGGATGGTAATTTAAGGTCTGTTGCTCGGAGTTTCGCTACTCTTACAGCCAGCTGTTTCCCTTCAAACCGTTCTCTACAGAAACGCAAGGGTACAGCATTCATGTCATGACCACATGTCAGATATACTTTTTCATGCATTGAACACGCAGGGGGAGATTTTTCAAGTCAATGACTTTCACTGGGACTTGGGTTCCTAAATGTCTTTAGTGCCTTTGAAATTGTCCCATGGGATATCCAGCTGACGAGCAGACAATCTGTACAGGTGCAGCTGCATTCCTCTCATATCTCCTAGCAAACTATCCTTCCCAGCTCCTACCACATTCTCCCTGTCCAGCAAAGATACTAAAAAGCTCCTTCCATAAATCCATCTCTTCAGCCTTCAGTGTCCTTCCTAATGCTCCCACAATTTCAGGGCTAGCCTTGAGGGGATAGCGAACAGAGCAGCTGCCCCAGAGGAGCTAAATTGAGTCCCCCGTGCTTGCTGTCAGCACTCCAGTCTGTTGAATTCAGTCATCCACGACTGCCTTCATTCTCCTGACGGGATGCAGCAAAGACTACGAGACTTGACTTGTGAGGCCTGGAAGCCGTGGCATAGCAGCCTTGAAGCAGCCCTGAAGCAGCCAGAGAGAGAAGCCAGAGGGACAGATGGAGAGTCCAGGATTAAAAATAAAATCATGCTGCAGGGAAAGGAAGGGGCATGTGCAGTTTGGAAAGTCCAGAGCAGTAATTCTGTTGCATTAATCCTTCATCGATGCTGTCAGCCCTTCTCACTCCTCCTCTGAATCCCGAAAGGCCACACTCTGCAGGATCTAGTTTCCTATGCATGTCCTTCCCCTCTTCTGCCCTCTAAAAATACCCTAACCAACTCCTTCCCAGAAACAAAGTGCTGCCCAGGTTTCATGTCCCCTAATTCCAAATTCTTAGCCTCAATTCCCTACACTGGGTCAGGCTCACATTAGAAAAGGGCTGCTTGAAGAGTGGCAAAACACTCGTAACCAGACGCAATTCAGGCTTACCAGTTTTCAACAGCTAGAGAATCTGGCCCTAATTTTGAAATCCTAATTTATACCACATTTTGCTTTGGTTATCGATGCCATCCAATAAAAACGAAAATTGCTCAAAGTATTTGGCACTCTTCAGATTTATCTTTTTTTGCACTGAACGAAGCCAGGGCACTAGGAGAGCAGGAGTTAGTTGCAAGAAAAAGGCAAGAGATCCTGCTGCTTCTGTACTTAATAGGGGGCCAGTTCTAGGGCAGAAAATAAGACATAAATTTATGCTTCAAAACGAATGGCACATCTAGTACCCTCCAGCTCCTTTCCCTACAGTAGCAGAGAAAAATTAACAGAGTTATTCTGAAACAGTTTCCTGAACAGGGGAGTAAAACTTCACACATAACAGTAACTTCAGGACTTTGTTTGTGTAGGCCTGGGATATATGAATACGGCAAATTCCCTTCTGCTGAGCAGTATATTTCTTTTAGCTGTTCACTCCCTTTCACTCACCCTGACCAGCATGCACAATTCATGTGAGAGCAACTTATTAGAAAAGAGTTGTTAGCCTGGAATATTAGTTGATCGCTACAGTCAAGCTTGTGTGCATGTTTCGATTCTAAGTCCTGGTTTTGGTTACTGGTTCATACAAATTTTCTGAAACTTACATTTTTCTGGAAAATTTTTTTCCAGGTGGGGGTCTTTGGCTAAGAAAGAAAGAAAGAAAGAAACTGGTTCAGGTGATTTTGAGAATAAGGAAGGTGAAATATATACTTATCCAATTATTAAAGTGCTTTGATCTTATATTAAAGGACTTAAGCTCCAAAATAAAGAGGAGCAGAAAACTGAAACAACACAACAACAGAAGAAACCAAAAGAGAGGGTCTGATGCACAAGTACATTGCAAGTATTCAATGTGGTTTCATGTCTCTCTGTTATTCAAAAGCTAATATATCCTGCTCATTTGGCCTAAAACGTGGCCCTTCTTGCTTGACTCCTACAAACACATCAAAAGGTACTTCTAGAGCTCCTGTGCCCCTGCAGCATCTGCTGGAGCCAAAGAGAGATGAAAATGCTTGAAACTTCTGAGAATTGTGTTCACGTTTATTTAGATGCCTAGCTTATGGGGCCACAATTGAAAATGTTGATTCCAAGTTTTAAAATGTTGGCCTCATTACTTAACTGGTGCCCTGCTGAAATTATGAAAAGACATCTTAGGTAAGAGAAGGGACACAGACTCCCCTAAGGGTAAAATATTGCCCATTTTAAGCAAATGGAAGATTTGCCATGGGCTCAAGAGGGCCAGTGTCAGCCACAAAGTGCTACCTTGGAGAAAGCTGCAAAACGTATTAACACAGTTCAAGTTACTTTTATTAATTTTTTTTGGCTGTCATGACTGAATTTGTTGCTTTTCTGTAATTAGTAAATGTTGTTTTAAAGTAAGAGCATTGTAATAGCAGGATGTCATCATAATTATTACAGTTTACATTACAATTGTAAATACAACACTTTAATAAATTTACGCCAACTTTTTACTCTCAAAATAGTCTTTTTTCTTGGTAATTCACAAAAATAAACTGAAAAAATATTAAAAATCTTTGACCATATGACTGAAAATTACCTATAGTGTTATCACCATCATATATCCATAGATATACACTTTGCATATACCATACACGTGACATATACACTAGAAAGCAGAGGTTTGCTTCCTTCCTTCCCATTCCAGTAAACTCTCCACCTACCCGTCCTCTAGGCCTGTTCTTTCGTTTTGGAATATCTTCTTCCAGATCCTCTTCCTCATTCGCTTCATCTGCATTTTCATCATTTTCTAAAACCCTCTGTGGTTGAGAAATAAACAGGAATGGTTAGAAGAAAAGATGACACATACAACCAACTGCTGCTCTTTACCACAGAGACTGCAGGTTATTAAATTACAGTTGATTAATGATACAATGCCAAATCAGATCCCAGAACCCCTACTTCTTTCCGCTAAAGCAAAATTTGCTTTCCCTTCCACCCTCAGTTCTCCAGGGAGTTCTTATTAAAAAATATCCTTGATATCAGTCAACTACAAAAAAAAAAGGTTCCTAAGAAATAATAGTGGCATCACTGAGCACAGATATCCCAAGACAACACAAGTATTAGTATGCATAACTGTAGGCCTTGTCTGGGAATTTGTTTGCATGATTTTTTTATTTTGGTTTCTTGCACCTTAAATTGTTTTGTTTTCCTCTAATGTTGAGAATGCACTTTAAGAAGACAGAAATCAGTGTTTTTCTCCTTGGCAGCTCACAATTTTCTTTGTTTGGCAAAAATAGAGAAAATTCCTCCATATATTCCAGCGTGTTTAGTGGATCTAGAAAGTAACATCTTTCAGGGCTTACACCACAGGTACAACTCTGTAATCTGGAAGCAGAGGTCTTGCTGCATGAGAATACTGGGGAAGTACAGGTCCCATTGAAGTTAATAGGAACAATAGCAATAGTTCCTTCAATTAATTATTTAATAGGAACAGTAATTCATCATCTCACAGTAACTGTGAGATGCCCAATCCTTTTATCTTGATCTTTTGAAATGTAACCTATATAGAATCAAACACAGGCTGCTGCCCTGAAAACATGCACAAGTCAGACTTGCACGGACAAAGGCAAGACAAACCGTCACAGCACTAATGTGGAAAGAAGTCCCATTGAAATCCCCTCAGCCCTTGGCATGTCTGCTAGAAATACAGAAATGGGCCCCAGCCACTCCTACCATTCATGGTGTGGCACCATTTCATAAGGGACTAATGGGGAATCACTAACTTATCTTTGCCATGCCACCATTCATTTGAATTACAACATGCAGCCATGATGCACATTCAGATCAGTGACATTAAACTGATGGGGAGGTTTTTCAGTCTTACTGTATTTGTCCCTTCCCTATAATTTCTACCTAACAGCTATTTGAGAGCCAGCAGAGGGAGAACAGAAGCATATCACAGTTGCTTTCTCTCCTTCCTACATACCTCAAGCACCAAATTCTGAATTTGTGGGAAAGAATACAACACAAATTACACTTTTAAAAAAGCCTGTATTTGGAAGACCAACTATACAAGTTTATTCTTATTTTATCAGCTAAATTTTTAAGACTAATATTGGACAATGTCCCTTTTAAAAAGTACAAACAACTTTTAGAACATAGTAGAGGATCAAGATTTCATTTGGTTTTTGCTCCTTTTATTTTTAAATCTCAGGAGGCTATTAATGAGGTCAGACCATCATGAAATACAATTTCACATAATACTAGAGTACTAAATACTAGAAGATGTAAAAGTTAAGCAAGCTCCAGTTCTGCATACATAAAATGTTTCTTCAAAATTCATGCAGTTGCATATATTAATTGACTTCATCTTAGGAAACTGAAGCAGTTGGAAATGTTATACATGAGGAGAATAGTGGTATGTAGGAAAATAAGCAAACTTACTGATACAAGTTTAGATTTTCACATTGCTTCATACCTTAAAGTATCTCCAAAAAAAGCGAAGGCTGCAACCATATCATATGTGGGAGGGGAAGGAGCTAGTTTACAATAATACTACACAAGAGCAGTTAAGAGAAATATTACAAACCACTTTCTTTGTTTAAAATTGCAGCATCAATTTAGGAAAGAGATAATAAGTAACCAAGTGTGAATTTGGTGACACTGCCAGGGTAATGAGTTTAATCCTTGACAGAAGGGGCATAGCCTTTCTGATGCATGGTCAAAAGGCTATTCTAAGCCTTCTCCAGCAAACGATGGAGACACATTCAATACCAATTTACTGTAGGGCAAAATCCTCAACCCTGTTAAATATCAACTGTACAGCAGGTCCCAATGACTGCAACTATTTAGCAGGGGGAACCCTTACCCTTTTTAGCAACGTAACTTTTCTTTTCCTATTCTGTCTTCCTAAAACAGTTCCCCAGCCCAATGTACTTCAGTGCAGCTAAGCACCAAGTCTTCTTCTCCTGAGAGATACTACGAGTTTGAGAGAGCAGTAAGTGGCTGGAGCTGAGGTGGGAATCACAGCTATGTCTATCCCACCTGCTCACTCTCACCACCACTGAGGCTGGGCCCTTTCAAGTTACAGCACAGAAGAGCATGCAAAGGAACAAAAGAGAGATTTGCATTTGCTTATTTGTCATACGGATGAAAGGCACTGGTCATGATTTTGATCTGGTACAGCCTAGCTGCCAGGTGCCAAAGTACATGCTGAAAGCCGGCTACAAGTAAAGGCTTTGGCAATTGTTGTTGTATAGACTGAATCCAGATAAACTGTGCTTGCAGGAGAAACAAGAGCAAGACATGCCTTTTGCATCTGTTCTGATGAAACTAGCATCCAGGTGACAGGTCATAGCTACAGCCGTTTAGCTCAAACTTTTTTGTATATTTTTGCATCCCCTCCCTGCTCTGCAATGCCGACTTGGGTCAGTTCCACTGCCTCTAAAGTCTCTTTCCTTGGACTGCTGCTGAGGATAATTCAGAGCTCAGATCACACAGCAACATCCAAAGGCACTTGTTGATCTCATAAGGATGCTGCACCATGACTTCTTGTGACCTTGGAAGCAGGTATAAACAGAGCTTTAGCGCTCTTGGCTTAATAGACCCAGATACACTACTGAAGGAGGAAACACAGAGTGGGCCTCATGCCAAGCTTTTCCCCACTCCATGAGCACGGGATGCTTCCTCTTTGATGGTGCTCCTTTACCTGTGCAACTGGGAATGGGAGACCTAATTTTGCTGACCTTATATGTGTGAAATTTCTAGCAAATAGACCAGTAGGACCAAGCTCCAAGTAAAATAGATTTCATGCCCGTGCTCTTCTGTTTCATTTAGCATGGGGCTGCCCACTTAATTTTTCACTAGTTTTAGGTATAGACGCAACACGTATCTCAGCCAAAATTAACAAGTTTGACACATTGCCAATGGCTCTCACCTAAAAATCACTAATAGACTCACAGCACAATGGTGTTTTAGCATCACCAAATATGTGCTGCTGCTCCCCAGGGAGAGGCCTGCTTTCCTAGCCATTTAAGATGTCTTTATAAAGTGACATGCACTTATATAAGAACACTTTATATTAGCTGAATTCCTTCTATGACAGACCCACAAATGTGTTTCTAATTTTCAAACTATAATGCATGTGAAAAGGCAATATTTCTCATACCTGCATCACTAATAATAACTGAGATAATTAAGGTTAGAATATTTTTAATTATTTATTTTGCTTGTATAGTTCCTGAAGGCTTCTCAGTATAAAAAAAAACAGGCAAGGCAATGACACGTTTTTGTCTACAGTCCGCAGCTGTGATTCCAAATTCAAACGCACGTCCAAATTCACTTTAAATATGAGGCACTAAAATTCAGTTTATGGTTGGGACCCATCTCTGCTTGTCAGTTTTATATGTAATCATCTCATAGTGCTTCAAAACAAATTCCAACACAGAAGCTGTGCAGAACACAGCCAAACAACTGAGATTCTTGTGACAGGAGAAGCGTGCGAGATCCTGAGTTCATTTTGAGCATCACAGTGTAGCACAATGGTTTGATAACATTTTGACAGTAGAATGACACAACTATCAACAGATGCACTGTTCTGCCACAGGACAAAATCTGCTAGGCTTAAAGACAAATGGTAAAATCCAGCCCTGCTGTCAGGGCATGGGGCTCTCCTTTACCTGGATTTCTTGTATAGTGTCTTCCTCTTTAGTGTCCGTTTTTTTCTCTATTCCCTCTCCACGCAGCAAGGCTTCCAGAGTTGTACTTTCTGATGTGAATCCATCTTTTTTCAGAGGCAGATCAACTTCTGAAAAAAAAACCACACTGACTATATGTGTCTCCCTCAGACAGCTAACAAGCAGAAGGACAGAGATGACAAGCAGAAGACTGACAGACTTTCAAGCTTATTTCTATCCTGAAAGAGAGTTCTTCAAGTTCTTCTTTTAACCACTAAGGATCCCCATATAGGATTCATGTCTGTCTTACTGAAAACCTGGTATCTTTTCAGTTGCTGTGTTTGCTTACAGGAAAAAAAAGGCTGGACGTGTTCTACCAGGAGGAAATAAATGGAGAAAAAAAATCCTTTTCCTTTATGTAAACTCCCTATGCTGCAAATAAAGAACAAAACCAGGACTTTCTAAGATACTGAAATATCAAATATGAAGATCTGATCTCCTGAAGTAGAAAAGTATTTTAATGCAATTTAGCATCTGGCACAGTCTATACAGCACAGCTTCAAGCAGCATTCTCCTACACCAGGGCATGTTCTACACGTGGAGAAGCGGAAAGCTAGTGTGTAGGGCCAATGCTGAGAACTTAAACTGAAAAAATAAAGGGATGTGTCTTGAATTTTCATTTAACATTGACTAGATAAAATCTTCAGTTTGTTGTAAATGGGCCCACACCAATGAAGAAACACAAGTCAGCACAGCTGTGAGTGCAGAAACTAGCCCATAGAACAGGATGACCCCCAGCCGGTGCAGGGAGAGCCAAAGGCTGGCCCAGGGGCAGGCCTGGGGCATGGGACGCCAGGAGACAGTGCAGGTTTATGAGGAAGCTTGATGCAACCTGCCACACAAGTGAAGGAACAGAGACTTATTCCCCTTCCGAATGCTGCCACCAGATTATGAGGCTGTGCAGCAGGCAGGCAAATACAGCATGTTAACTTTAGCAAGATGTTAAAATACACCTAGGGAAGAATTCAGTTTTCCTTGTAGATCCTGGCCTCTACCCCAATCGTGCAGGAGTTTTCAGAGCAACCCTATGGCAGGGAGACATTCTGAACATCTCTTTTACCTGACAATGCCAGATGTGGATTTCTCAAGTACTCCCTGCCTTCTAAAATTAATTCCTTCCTCTAGGCCAACAGATTTATAAAGTAATAATGTACAGGACCGATGCTCACAAATCAGCATCCGGTCTCCTTATTTCATAGGTCTGTCCACTTCTTATCTTTTAGGACTGTGTTGTGTTCCCCAGTTTGCCTGAAGCTCCCTGTCTTTCTATCACCATGAGTTGCAAACTCTGCACGGCAGAAATTCATGTGTTTATAAAGCCCCAAATCACTCCTGCAATCCAAAAAATGAATGAACACTTCCACCTGGGACAGTAAAGTATAATCTGTTTCTTGGGGGCAATTGCATCTCAGGAATATGTTTGTTCTATATATGAAAAACTCTAAGCCAGCAAATGATTCAGGGTCCCTGATCAGTGCTTCCACAACATGCTTGCTCAAGTCTTCTGAAGTGAGAGAGCATCGCTCAGCCAATAACCACAGAAAATCCAGCAAAAATTCCAGCAAAAGCTATTCTATTCATAGAGGGAAAGGCTGAGTACAAACCATGCAGAAAAACCAAACCACTGGGATTTTCAAAGGGAACTCCCAGGACAAGCCACACAATGGGTTGGGGTCAACAGTGAATTGATCCCCCTTCTCATCACAAGGAGGTCTATTCAGTCAGGCCTCTGTTTTCATTATTAAGCTCTGCGCACACACCCCATTATGCCACCTTCCCCAACTTCTCCCTTACTTGAGCTATAAAAAAGACAGAGAAGTCAACAGAGAATCATACAGATTGAATTTCCCTGTATGAACTCCTAGTACCTCCCTCTGGATGCTAAATCCAGACATTTCAATAGAAAGAAGGGATTTTTGACTTGATTTATGTGCAAATCCCAACACTTGAATCTAAAGCCACTAAGGAACCTCCATAATCATCTCAGGCTGTCGGCTTGGCTTGGTTTCAAAGTCCTGTGCTTAGGTGCAAAAGGGCATTTGCTTTGCGTTTAGAACCTTGTGGGACTGCAAAACCCAAGGGGTCATCATACATTCAGCAAGAGAAGAAGCTTCAAGCAAGCTCAAGGGCATCAGAAACAAACATGTCTTCACTGTGACAAGCTATGCCTGTCTCTGGATACCGATACACTCAGCAAACAAATGCATTTGAAAAAGGGAACGAGCAAGGAAAGGATGAGGGATAAGTAACACATATATGAAAATAAAACTACTTCCTGTTTGTTCCAGAGATATTGAACATTAAGTAAGAGGGAAAGGTAGGCTTTAAGGTCAAAAAATGGCAGCTGTCTTTAATAGGCATGTTTGGGTTTTGTGGTACTGCTACTTCCCACCTGCAACACTCCAGGAGACTTTTCATCCAAAATTCTCAGAGCACTTTTTAATTATTAAATTTAACATCCCACTGACAAGTCAGTGTGAGGTAATACTTTTATTCCCAGTTTACTGATGGGGAGATTGAGTCACCAAGAAGTTAAGTTAAGGAGCAGGAAATCCAGCTAAAAGAAACTCAGGACTGCTGCCTCCCATCCACCCACTAAACTTGCTGCTATTCAACTCCTTCATTTTCTTCTCCACTGGTAGCTTCTACGAGTCCACTTTCATCCCTAAGTAGCTCTAGAAAGTGGGAAATGGCAGACACTATCTTAACTGGAATGTAAAGTTTATGGTATAAAAACCTACAAAGGTCCAAAACCAACCTCTTAGTAATGAATTCAATCTTTGTAATGAATTCAGTCCTTCCTGGAAGATGGCTAGTCTGTAAAGGATACAGTAATGAAGACAGGAAATTACGTTTCCAAACCACTTTTTGAATCCTCAGAGATAAAAGTCTCCAAAAATCTAAACGATGGCTCAGTTAACCTAGAGAAATAGTTAAACACTACTAGGGGTCATTAAATTCATTTCACTAAATCCCTAATTTAGTCTTTCCTATTTAACTCTCCAGGATTTTCCCACAAAAGCTAGAAAAGTATATTTTCGTCTTATGCCTGTACCCTACAGAAAACTGAGAAGCCAACCCAATGCCTGAAATGTATTTTTGTTGTGAAAGACCAAGGCTTCCCCCAGACCACGGGAACTGCTGTATGGAAACAAATCGGGGTCCGTTCCACCCACTGTCCTGCTTATGAAGGCACCGGCCAACGTTAGAAGATTCAAACAAGGCCAGATAGAGTCTTCTAGGCTTGAGAAATTGAGCCATGACCCCACACTTGCCTCTCTTTGCTTTGATATTTGTTGTGCTGTACTATGCAGTCACATCAGATGCTGCAGAAGGTATGAGTGTCTGTCAGGAGAGAAATGCAAAGAAAATAATCTACCCTAATACTACATTTCATCCTGATCTCTAACAGGTCAGTCCTGAGGGATAAATGCAGTATCACTTGCAGTTATCCTAAATCCTGGGTCTTCTGGAAATGCACAGAATAGCCCAGCCCTTTCTGAATTTTTATATACTTTTGCCCTCAATGTTTTCCCACCTGAGCGAGTTCAACAGTTAAACTATGGTTTGAAGGGAGCGTTTCACTTTATTGCTTGCCCTCTTGTTCTTGCTATGAGACAGGGAAGATAGAAGTTCCTGACCAAACTTTTTCTGTCATTTCTTTTTATTCCTCTCCTTTTGAAGATAAACAGTCACAATCTTTCTGATTACTCTGCTGTGGGAAGTTTTCCATATGGCTTTATCCTGTCAGAGCTCTCTGACTTCCTCTTATTTTTCAATAGTCTACCCAAGATGCACCAATACTGCACCTGATATTTTTAGGGATGAAGCCACATCCCCCATTTAAACAAATGCATTACAATATTCTTTATATAACCCTTCAGGCAGTGTCCTGCAATGTCCAAGCTAAGCAGAATTAGGAACCTTGTAAGAGGAACAAGAACTTCCCATAAGTAATACTTTCAACACACAGGTGAGAAATTAAAATGTCTCTCCCGCCGCCCATTCACCAAGCACATTCAGATCTCACCAAGGAGGCCCACGCAGACCTCCCTGGCCACAATGGCTCTAAATAACTTTGTACTATGTACAAATCTTTGTAGTTTACAAAACATTCCCTCTCCCCAGTTTGTTCATTACTACATTACACAACACTGGACCAAACACCAAACCTTGATGCACCAGCTGTTAGCCTTTTTTTATAATGAAAGTTCTTTGTTTCATTGTGTTCTTTGTTTCATCTTTTATACTAAAAGTTTTTATCCAAGACAATGCTTTGATCCTCTTTGGAGGCCTATTACATACCAAAGGTCTTCAGAAAGTCTAAGTAAATTGTCAACCCCCTTACCTATTAGACCTTTACATATCATGTAAAGAATTTTAAGAAAGTAGTAAGACATGCTTTTCCTTGGTAGGAAGAAAAAAAGTAGTCAGTTAGAACCTCCTATATCATCATTTCCCAGGTGCTTTACTGCTTATACCTAATTACCATTTCAATCAATTTCTCAAATGTTCATGTAGAATTTATGGGTCTTTAAATCCTTGAATCACATCCAAATCCTTTTTAAATATAGGTAATAACATTTTCTACCCACTAATTGTTGTAAATTCTTTCTATTGTAACTCCTAGTTTGTATCACAAGTTCTCCTTCAGACATTGCAATTTCAGAGAACATAATCTTTATTACAAGTAATAACTACTAGTAAAAGCACTGTAACTAAAAGCTTACTCTTTTATATAAAAACTTTAAGAAGGTTTGTAGATAAATTTCCTTTTGATTAGTATTGCAAATGCAATAGCACCTGGTTAGCGTAGGAGATACAGGAAATAGTCAGAACCATACAAAATAGAAGTGTCAAATCAACAAAAATCATCAATGAAAAATAAAATGTTATTTAAGAATTCTTCCTGTTTTAATAAATCATGGTATTATTGGTGTCACAGCTAAATATTGTGCATATATTATAATTTAAATATGTGTGTGCATATCATTAAAATTTGTTTCTTAACTTGGCAGAGTCCGTTTCATAATGATTAAATTAACATGGTTATTTCTGCTTACCAGCTCAG